AGGAACAGAGAGGCTACTGCTGGGCTAACAAACATGCTGAGAGAAGCCACTCCTGGCAGGGAGGTTATTGAAGTCAATGAACTGCAGATATTCTTAACATGTAGCTGATAAGAATACTATTATTAAGAACCTAGAGTTGAGCATAAGCATAAGCAGGCTGAGTTTAAGGGCCAGTGTTAAGAAGTCAGTCAGTATACTAGAGCAGAGATGGGTGGAGCAAAGATGGAGAAGGACACAGGAAATATTCAGTTGGTCAAGTGCCTCCAAGAATGGGAGAATTCCAGTGCTCACCAACTCAAGACACCCTTTATTTCTGCATGACAAGATGATCTCATGCATCCTGAAAGAAGAATGACTGGAGGATGCTTTAGAACCCAAGAACAGCCATTGGAGGGATCTACTAGTGGTGGTGGTGGTCACGAAAAAGATATTGTCCAAGAAGCAGGTTCATGCATCCTTCAGGGTCTTGTACTATTAATATTTCTTCTTTTCCTTCTCCTTCTTCTTCTCCCTCTCCCTCTCCCTCTCCCCCTCCTTCTCCTGCTCCTTCTCACTGGACCTCTTCTTCTCCTTCTTCTTCTGGAGGTATTGGGGTTTTGAACACAGGGCTTTGTGCTTGTTAGGTAGGTGCTCTACTGCTTGCTCCACATCTCCAGCCCCCTGCATTGTTTTCATACAGTCCTGAGGAACCCTCCCACCTTATGTCTACTTATATTTATTTCCTAGTGTAGCTATAGTAAATTAATACAAGCTGGATGGATTACATTTTTCACATTTCTAGAGCCAGAGGTCTGAAATTAAGATTTCATCAGGATCATACTCTCTCCAGATACCCTAGAGTGGAACCTTCCCCTTGGCTCTTTATGATTCTGGTGTTTCAAACATTTCTTACCTTGGGGCTACATCTGTCTTCTCTCTATCTCTGTGGACATATTGTCTCTTTCTCTTCCATGTTTCTTCCCCTCTATACCTATCTTTAAACTTCCTCTTGATCTGTATCATGTGAAGATACATGTGATTTATCATTAAGGCTGAAAAGGACTGAATGTTTGTGTCCCCTAAATGTTATTTGTTATTATCCTAACTCTCAGTACAATGGTGTTAGAGGTTGGAGGCTTTGAGAGATAATAAAACCATAAGATGAAACCAAATGCATGGACTTTGTGCCCCTACAAAAGGTACCCAAAGAAAATTTTTACCATCTTTCCACCATGGAAGAATTTGAAGGGAAGTTCTGTATGCAACCTGGAAGAAGACCCTTCAGAACCTGATCATACTGGTACCCTGATCTTAGACTTCCAGCCTCTATAACTCTGATAAATAAATTTATTATGTTTACAAGCCACCCAGTTGTGGGGAGTGGATTATGAGAAGCCTATGAGAACTTGGCAAAGGCATTGATCATGTGCTCAATGATCTACAGGCTGAGTTTGGCACGGCTCCAGCTGCAGAAGAGAGTGAGAGGCAAAATGCAGCACAGCTGATTTTCTTAAGTTGTTTACATTCAGAGAAGTAGAGAGCACGGCTCTGCTGTTACAATGCCATGCCCTTCCCCAAGAACTGTTGCTCCACCTCCTTGTTTACCACTATATATAAAAGATTTGTTGAAGGAGGATGCCAGGTTTTTTGATGGAGGGTTTTTTTGATGGGAGATAGATTGGTTGCTTGGCAGCTTAAAAGGGGACTGCCACAAAATGTTGCTGCTGCTGCTGCTGAGTTATGCTAGAGATTAGAGGAAACATGAGACAGTGCAAGTCTGAACACTGAGATTTTAATAAAGCAAAAGACAGAACATGAAACAGTGTAAGTCTGAGGATCAAGACTTTAAAAGGGAACATGGAACAGTGCAAGTCTGAGGGCCAAGACTTTAAGAGAGATTAAGGAAAACATGGGACCATGCAAGTCTAAGGAAAGAGACTTTAAAGAATACAAAAGAAGCAAGGTTTTAAAGAAAAACTTTAGAAGTAAGGTTTTAAAGAATAAGAGAAAAGAAGCAATGAGGCTGTTGTGCATCACTATCAGAGAGCCCAGCACACCTGGCCCAACTTTCTGCATGTCTGTCTTCTATAGTTTGTCCTTTCTGCATCTCCAGTCGCCCCCAGTTAGGTCAGGAAAAACAGGAGCTTGAGAAAGCTCTCAAAACGTAGCCTATTATACTTTGTTATAGTAGCTCAAAATGATTAAGAAAAAGCCCAATCATATAATCCAAGATACACCTTCCTCTCACAATCCTTAAATTAATCATACCACATATGAGATAATATCCATTATTTTGCCATATAAGGTAATATTTACAAATTCAGAGATTAGGACATGAATGTACCTTTGTGGGCCACCATTAATTGCTCTATAGTACATCTCACATAAAATTGTTCAAACTGAATGGGTGCAAATGACCATTAATATTCAGATATTGATACTGAGGGAGTGGCCTGATAGAGAGGTCCCTGCTCAAGAACAAATGTTAATCATTTTGACCTTCCTGATGATGCATGTAGAACTCACAGAAGGTGGAATAGGAATGTATGATGGACACTTTGCTCTGTCCACTGTGGTAACAGATACCACAATGGTACAGGTCCCATTCGGGTAGAGAAACTCTAAAGTGTGGGGCCTCCCTTAGGTTCTGGGTAAGTGTGAGTATTAATCCTAATGGAACTTATGGTACCTGTGTGTGTTCTCTAGGTTCACAAGGTAGCAATGGTGGTGGCCTACAGAGATACAGAGTTCTTATGGGGCTATCATCTAACTGCCTGATGATGTCTGTAAAGGCCCCAATTCCCACCATGACCATGGATCTCTGTAAGGTCAGAGTTGGAGAACAGCAGAAGGTGAGGTCAGGATTTTGATCACAGTCTGTATGTGCTTCTATATATCTATGAGTGTGAGTATTTGTTGTATATATTTGTTTTGTGTCTCTTTAGGTGTTTGTTGTATGTGTGTTTAGGATACTCCTTCAAAATCTTTTGTGTGTGTCATGCTCTTTGGCAGTGTGAGTAGCTCTTTGTCCTCAGCAGTATCCTCTATGACTAGTCTTCTGGGATCTCTGAGTGATGCTAAGTTGGATTGTATGTGAAGAAGACATTTTAGGGACACTTGAAAGGAAGGGCCTCACTACACAGTACTACTCAGGAAAGAAGACAGCAGTCACTTAAGCCTATTTATCCATATTCTGAAACATTTCAGTATACTGGTTTTCAGTTGTTTCTCCCTGCCTCCCTGGTCTCTAGAAGCTTAAAACAATAGCAGAAGTTTCCTTGATGACCCTTTGGTTTTAAACCTATGAACACAGTGACAAAATTTGTACAGTGTGTTTTGTTTTTACCAAGGATTTGATTCCTAAATAAGGAAGTAGTATGACTTTTTTTTAACAAGCTACTAGGCCAAATTCCTCCAAGTAATTTATATTGCTTTTTAAAAACCTTTACCCAAGAGATCATATGCAGCCAGAATTTAAATTATTAAATTATTTAATATCTCCAGGAGTCATTTCCAGGGATGTTTAGCTTTTCTCAAGTTTGGCAAATATTAATCCTCTGAGCATGAGATCATTTTTCGACATGGTCAAATCTTACTGAAGAATTTGGAGAACAGCTCTGATGAATAAGACAGTGTCACAGGAGACAGCCATGCAAAGAGGAATTGTATATGGACCCATTTTCAGTAAGTTATTTTGAGTCTCTACCCATACAGATGCAATGGTGGTGAAAACAGAGACAGAACAGTCAGCACAGCTAGTCATTGTAAGAATCACCATCTTTCCTCTCAAGCAACACCTAGAGACTGTATTCAAGGAAGCAGAGACGGGGTGATAAGAGAATAAGGCCTTACAAGTACCTGCAGCACAGGGAAATTTGTAGGAAGAAAAGGGAATTGAATTAAATATGAATTTAAAGTTTTTAAAAAGATAAAGACTAAATGTTAACTACTGAAACAAAAGAAAGCTTAAGGGATCAGCAAAGGATGTTTACTGTCACCACTTTTATTCAGTATTGTATTGAGGTTGCTGACCAGTGAAGTGAGGGAAGAAAAAACAAGTCTAATAGCTGGAAAGAAAGAAGTGCCATATATTCAGATTTCATAATTATGCTTGTAGATCATCCAAAGAATCTAAAACTGTTAAAACTATAAAAATGAACTAATAATAATTTAATAATTAATATAATAGTTAAATTGTCTTCTATATACAATAGTAGAAAATAATTATTATTAAGAATATACTATTTTCTGGATATAGTTATACACACCTGTGATAGCAGCACATGAGATGCTGAGACAGGAAGATCATGAGTTCAAGGTCACTCTGGTTGACAAAAGGAGACTTGTATATCTCTTATATATATGAATATATATTGTATATATTATGTATAAAATATATGGTATATATGTAATATATTATTTTTAAAAGCCCTTATACAACTGAAATAAGACATGTAAGACCCAAAGCCAAAAACTTCAAAGCATAACAAGAAAAATTAAAGAAATCCTCATTCAATGATGGGAAATTCTAGTTAAATGAAGATACACTATGATCCTGATTGGAGACTCAGTAGTAATTTGTTAATGCAAACTCAGTAGATTGCTGGGGTTAATGATATCCTAATTAAAAACTTCATCAGGTTATTGTGGAAATTAGAAACTGGTTTTAAATTTATTTTGACATTCTATAGTTTTAAGAAGAACAAAGCTGGAAGGCTTACATTGGCAGATATTCCCACTGTTCGTGTACAGTAATTAAGCTAGTATACAGTTTGGCACAGTCTTTATCAAATAGACCAGTACAATAAAATATAAAGCTCAAAACAGAGCCATCATCTTCAGGCTCTCCTTACTTCTCACTTCTGGATCTTATCACTCCATATGTTCTTATTTTCTCCAATTCTCCACAAAGGAGTGATTCAATACTGGGTGTGGGGAAATTGATAGGTTTTTATCTTCCAAAGCAGACTGTGGGCCTGTGGGGTGCAAAAAAGGACAAGAGGGCCTGAGGAGATTGTTCTTCAGTCAGAGAACTCACAGACTGCCAAATGGGAGTCGGAGCAGGGGATGTCATTCCACTTGCCGTCTGCCAAGAGCATCACACAATTTTCCCCAGATCCAGAATTGTTGGGTTCACCCTGGTTCCAGTTTTCATAGGTCAGTCTTGCTCCCACCATATCCACAAACTGGCCTTCATTCTCCTCATCTGTGATGCCCAGGAAGGCTGCTTCTTTGGCCACATGCTTGATGGCCTTATTTTCTTCAGCGGTCCTGGGGGTGGCCACATTGGCTTGGAACTGGGCACACAGAGCCTTCACTCTGTGAAACCTCATCCTTTCACCACTGCTCAAGAAGAACTTCTTTCCAACTTTTCTTCCCAAGGAGAAGAAAAGCCCTAAAATTTGGAAAAGCAGATGATAGTTGGATTGTCTTTAATCCAAGCCTGGGTATGTCTCTGGGTAAACCCTTGCAGAATAGAGTTGATAAAATGTACTACATCCAGTTAAAATTGAGCTTCAGATAAGCAATGAATTTTTTCACTTAAGCAAATTCCCATTAAAGTTTGGAACATACTTATCCAAAAAATTTCTTTTTTACTTGAAATTCAAATTTAACTCATATTTTCTCTTTGTGTGATATAGATCCAATTTTCAGTGAGCAAATTTCAGAGTATAGGATCAGAGCCTCTGGAGTCAGAGACTTCAACTTATAAACTGGTCCCACCACTTATTAGCTCTGTGCTTTGCCTCCATTTCTACCAGAAGGTTGTGAGGATTTCAGAAAGTTGTAAGGTTGACAAACCTATGCAGGTACTAGACTATTTTATGAGTTCTGTACGTATTTATTTCTCTTCACCATTCCCTGATATTAGCTACCTGAAGAATAAGAGAGAAAGCTTACAGTTTTTGATATGGTCCAATTCTGATCGCAGAGCTTGTATTTCTGAATTATCCAAATAGGTATCACATTCTAGAAAATTAGAGCAAGGGGCATTGTTGAGAAGGGGTTCCAGAACTGTGCATGTAAGGGAGGGGGTATCTTTAAAAAAAAAAGTTTCTTTTACATTGATAGTTACACTTTCAAGGAAAATGAAAAATACTGAGAAGCAAAAAGAAGGAAAAAATCTCTATTTCTATCCATTCTAAAACATTGCTTTTCATCTGCTGACATATCCAGACATTTTATGTACATTCCATGTTCACACATGCACTCCCCGATTACCTAGCATGATAGCAAACTGTAGGCAAAATTTCTCACTAATTTTTTTTCTGAATATTTTGCTCTACAGAGGATAAAAACAAATTTCTGTAAAAATTATTCTGACCTGGTAAACATTAACTAAAAGAAGACTTTGTCTTTGGAGAGGTTTTGTTTTTGTTCCCTTTTGTTATTTTGGTTTTGTTTTTCTCTACATTTTGAAATAAGTCAAGCAACCACAATTTTTGTGAGTTGTCCATTATTCATGTGTGTGTTGGGTCTCTCTCTCTCTCTCTAGAGAGAGAGAGATAGTAAGTGGCAAAAAAAAATGGTCTTAATAAGATGTACCATTAAGAAATGGAGTCTACCCCACTCCAGAGGAACTAATATAGAAACCTTAAAGTGACAAAGGTCAACATGAGAAGGGGATCAGGAACCAATATAAAGATCAGTTAGAGATGAATCAACTTGGGTTGTAATACATTTGTACATGGAAGCAATGCTAGGAGTCTCTCTGTATAGCTACCCTTAACTCAACTAGCAAAAATGCTTTTTCTTATTATGCTTATGTCTTATTATGCTTATGTCTTCTCTTCAACAAAATTAGAGATAAGGGCAGAACAGGTTCTGCCTGGAAGCAAGTGGGGTGGGTGGGGAGAGGGTGGGGGCAGGGGCAGGAGGGAGAAATGACCCAAACAATGTAGGCACATGTGAATAAATGAACAAAAAAAGATTTCTATATTCCTTCTTGTACAGAGAATATATCAACCATATTTAACTTTTTAGTTTCCTCTTAATTAGTTTTCACTACTACCATCCATTGGAGAAGACATACTCTCACCTTCACTTGCCTGAGAAATTGGCTTTTCTATGTGGCACTGAGGTTTCAACTCAGGCCCTTATACTTGCTAGGCAAGTGCTCTTACTACTTGATCCACTCCGCCAGTCTGAAAAACTGACTTTCAAAAATGGAGATTTGGAAAGGAGTCTGTGTTTAGTGTGTTTCCATTTTATCCCACACCGATCTGCTATGCCTTACTCCTTTGCATTTTCAGAAAAGCAATAAGCATTTATATTTTCTACATAAGTGATACATCCAATATTTTTTACATATAATAAATACATCAATAAATTTTCAACAAGAAATAATAGCATATATCATTTTGCATCAGTTTTTCCTATTGTCTCTATAAGTATATAAAAAATCTCTCATTGTACAAAATGAAAATTAAGACACAATTTAATATATTCAATTACATACATTAAAACTATTTATTGTATCACTTTTGATGCACAAACATTACTTTATGTACATATGTAGATACACAATATACACATTTGAACCATTGTCAGTATGTGCCTCAGAAAGGAAACCTGCTCTGAATGTTGTGTGTGTTCTGTCTTTGTATGTTGGCCTTTTTATTCTTGCTAGGTAAATTTTAGATAAAGTAAAATGTCATAAAATCCTGACTTTTCAAAATAATGTATGTGTGACAAAATATTTTAATAAAAATAAGCAATTTCATATATTAAAAAAATGGAGTCTATTTCAACAAATATGGGCTGGACTTTGACTTATTATGGCCCTCACTATGTAGTAGATGTATGTTTTCTGAGTTTCAGAAGACCTCAAAGCTTCTGTTCTCTCTACTCTTGGGAATCCTATGGTTCCTGATATCTCATTAAGACTTGTGTAGCTTACCAGATGATAGGAGATCCACGTCTCATTGACCCTCATCACTCTAGCTGACACCCAAACCACAGCCAGGTATGTGAATGAATAGCCATTGGTTGACCACAGGTAAGTAAGCCCAGCTAAAACCATAATTTCTATGACCAATCTACAGAATTATATTTAAATAAATGGTTGTCATTTTAACCCATTAAATTTTGGTGAAATATAACTGGTATGCTATATATAAACACTTTTGGGGAAAAAAGACATCATATACCCACATTTAGATACTTCTCTCTGTAGTACTAGAACCTCAGCTGAAGGAAAACCTGGGTTCCAATTCTCTAAGGGGACCTTGATGAGGGAGGAGTCCTGAAAGGTTTATAAAGCTAGACTTAGGCATTGATAGGAGGGCTGAGGGCCCTGGGTCAGGAAGCAGAGTTGGTATCTTCCTATGAAGCCCTGGGAAAAGCAGTACCTCCCTCCAGTTACTCTGGCTTCCAGAACCCTGGGTGTCATCAGCTAAGGCCACTGTGAGGTGAGCTCCTTACCTCCTTTTTGTCCAGAATCTCCTTTCAGCCCTACTGCTCCTGGTAACCCAGGGGTCCCTGGAGGCCCTGGAGGCCCCACCTTTCCAGGAGGGCCCTGCAAGCCTCTGAGTCCTTGGCCTGTTGGAAGACCAAGGAAACCTGAGTCAGTATCTTCTTCAGTGTCTATTTCTTGCTCTTTCCCAAGAGTTTAATGCCTAATCCATTCTGAGAGAAAACAGACATGGACCCAGGGCCAATCTTCCTGATCCACTATTTCTAGTAATCCAGAAAAAAAATAATCCCTTTGTGTTCCATGGGACAGAGTGCCCTGGGAGCCTTTTTTCTGGATGGGAAAAGCAAAAATGTATCACAAACTTCTGTGTGGAAGTCTGGGATGCCAAAGGACTGGATCCACACCCTTGTTTTGAGTGATAATATATAGATGAGAAAAATACTATATACCTAAATAAGACATTATTCAACTCCTATCTTTGAGCAATTTCCTCTGGAAAGTAAAGGATCACAGAGACAGAACATCCCAATAGGTACCTGGTTCTCCCTTTTCTCCCTTGACACCATCATGTCCATCTTTGCCTGGGAAGCCATTCAGGCCTGGAGAACAGGCAATCACAGGGCAGGTCTTTTGCACATTTTCATTGATTATAGTTTCTGAATAAATTTTTACCGCATTCAAGAGGAGAAGGAGAGATGGAACCAAGAACATGGTCCTCACCTTGGTGGAGAGAAAGTCAAGAAAGTTTGTTCAGTTAATCAACACATAGTTACCAAACATGCCCTCTGTCCTATAACTTGGGCACAGATGATGTGGAAATGGATGATCATTCATGGTATCCAGACTGGGTATTTAGAAAAGCAAATAGGGAATCTGACACACTGTGTGATTAGTATTTTAATAAAAGTAGAAAAAGTAGCATATGATGGAGGATATTGAGAGGGGTCACAAATTCTCAGGCCTCCGGTGCTGCTGCTAGGAAAATGAATATATGCTTCCTGTGGCAGTGAGAGCAGAAAAGTCTACACACTGACACCTCAACTCCTGCCTGTTGACTTAGGGAGTAGAATGAATGGAGATCCAGTTGTCTGCAGGAGCTCCCTCCCTCTCTGCTCTACCTTCGCTTTCGACCAATTTGTTATCCAAATTCTATTTTTATAACTGGTCTGATGATTTCCCTCTAACTTTCTTTTCTTAGTTTCAGGCATTAGACTAAGGTGATCTAGAGGAAGAATCATGTCCCCACCTCAAATTAAGTCATTTACTAGTACTGCTAGTCACTAGCCCAGCCAAGAATTAACTCAAATGTGCTTCCCCTTGGTGTTTTACTTCCCACAAGATGGGCTTTCCCTGGGCAGCATTTTCTCCAGAAATTTCTCAATACCTCAGTCTAGACAGAGTGCTATATCCCTGTCTGTTTCCTAGCAGGTATTCCCTGTATTCTGTTAAACAAAAGCTTCTGGCAATTAGACAACCTGCAATAAATCTCTTTCACAGTCCTTAATCTTAACATTTCAGCTATCCTTCAAGGCTTTTTTCCACCTGCACCCCCTCCCCAGGAAAACTTAGGAGCACAGCTAAATAGGTCTCATGTTCCAAGGCTCTAGTTAACAAAAAAAAAAAACAAAAAAAAACTCTTTTGCAAAAATAAGGTAATTAAGAAAACTCTCAGATGTCTCAGCATAAGCAGAGAAAGGGCCAGCCCCGATGTAATGTCTGCCTGCCATCCCACTTCCCCACTCTTAGAAAGCCTCCCCCAGGTCTCCAGAGTCAGGTGAAGTTCTAAGACTTTTGACTTAGGAACCCACATCCATTTGCCAGAAATGACTTACTGGGATTTCTTTACAACATGGATTCAGTGACAAGGTCCCTTGAGCCTGGGACTCTGGCAGATGCATCAGAGTGAGGGAGGAGGTTGGACTCAGCAACAAAACTTGTGCAAAGGGATAGCCTGAGCCTGGCCTTCAACCCCAGATTAATAAACAACTCTTTTTAGGAGCATTTCCCAGGGAGCTCAAACAGTGCTACAGCTGTCTACTGTAATATAGTACAACCCCTCTTTCAATTGCCATCTGTGTTGCCAATTCTCACTGCTGAGTTACCATAATAAATAGGATAAAATTATTAGTCATGTTAGGATCCTTGTTTTTAATAGAGAATAGTACAGATGTCCATGAATGCATACACATGCTCGTGTATCCCAACTGCATACACAGACATGTCCATGATCTTCTGTGTGATCTCTTGCTGCTGTTAACACATGGAGACAACTCCTGCCTCAGGCTGTACACTTGTCAACTCCCTCCCTGCCTGGACATACCCCACCCTTCATGCATTTCTGACTAATATTTCTCTTTTATTTAAATATTCCTATCTTAAAAAGATTTTTCTCGATCTTATCTAAAATGGTCTTAACCAGCAACTCTGTCTTCTTACCTTAGATTATTTTTGTTTATATCAACTACACTGCATCAAGTTATAGACATGTACTGTATTTTCATACTGTGGTAAAATACATGTAACATAAAATGTACCATTTTTACTATTATTAAATGCACAACTCAGTTTCAGTAAGAGTAGTTACACTGTTGTACAGTCATCACCACTATCCAACTCTAGCAATGTTTCATCATCTCAAACTGAAACTCTCCCATTAAATAATACCTGCCCTCCAACCACTGGTAACTGCTGCTCTACTTTCTGTTTTTAAAAATCTAATTATTTTAGGTACCTAACATAATTAGAATGGTGCAATAATTTTCCTGGCTATGTATGGCTTATTTCACTTAGTAGAATGTCTTCAGTTTTCATCCATGTTGTAGTATATAGTAAAGTTTCACTACTTTTTGAGGCTGAATAATATTCCACTGTGTGTATATGCAACATTTTGGAAACTTCAGTTTTAATAGCCAAAAATACTCAAAATCTCAAAATCACCCAACTGCCCTTCAAAGGTGAATGAATAAATAGTGATTTATCACCTAATGGAAAACACACAGACACACAGACACACACTGACTTTTTTTGTTGCCTTATCTGGCAATATTTAAAATTTTGTTTCATTTTCTATGATGACAAATAATTTTCAAGTTCCTTTCATCTTTTGGCTTGTTTGCTTAAATACAAAGCTTAACCAAAAACAGGTACAACCAAGACATTTCATTTCACATTTACATACTCCTGTTGGATCCTCCTCCAATTCACTGACCACTGACCAGTCTAGCAGGGCAAGAGGAAGACTTTCTCAGTTAGCAACATGGTGAGGCCTAGAATAGGGTGAGGGAGGACCAGTGATGAGGGCAATTTCTCATACCTGTCTTCATTTACATTTACCTGGGCAAGAGTGGTCAGGAGCCCCTAGGTGTCAGTTTCTAAGCTCTGAATTTAAGATAGTAAGAATCTGTCTTCTTAGGGAGGAAGTAGGAAGCCTCCTATTCCTGCTATGGCACTACAGGTGAAAACTTGAGGCTTATCCTTGTTCCCTGGCCATCAGGCCCTGACAGCACCTCAGCATACCTGGTGACTTCCTGAGGCTTGTTGTGGCCACTAGGTAGGAGCACACAGGCTCACACTTCAGTTCATGGCTGCATCTTCACAGGAAGGACACCAGGTGGTCTAACACACTGAAGGCCTTGACAACAACAACCAGATTCTTGTTTCAGGTAGTAACTTTGGAAACGAGTCAGAAATGGTTGGATGTGAAGTGGTGAATAAGATGTTTACGTGGACATGTAAGTTTCTGACTTGAATAGTTAAGGGTCACTCAATTAAGATAGGAAAAAAAGGCAAAAGAACAGCAACTGGGGGGAAGAAGGCAGTGGGATCGTCTGGATAAATGTCTTGAATCATATTCCAGTGGTCAACAGACATGATATAGAGGGGATTGAACTGTACCTTTATGGAGCACAGTTCATTCAATTCTGAACTACATTTTTAGTCTAGCTGTTTTTCTGGGTTAGTCAGCCTCTACTACTATAATAAAATACCTGAGATTATCAATTTATAAAGAGGAAAGATTTATTTGGTTTCAGCCTATGGCCCCTTGGCCCAGTTGCTCTTATGCCTCTGTCAATCCTCTGCACCTGTGCATCATCGTGAGAACTTGTAGCAAAGGGCAGCTTCTTTAGCTCACGGCCAGAAATGAAAGAGAAAGAGGAAAAGACCAGGGTTCCATAATCCCTTTTGAAGGCATACCTACATTGACTTACAACCTTCCTCTTGGTCCTGCTTTTTAAAAGTTCCACCCCTTCCTCAATAGTGTCATGGGTTAGAGACCAAGCCTTTAACTCAAAGGCTTTTGGGGGAGATTCCAGATCTAAACTACAACAGCTGACATGAGCACACCGTGTTAAGTTTGGGGTGTTGGGTGAACCCATCTTGAGAGCTTCACGAAGAGACTGAAGAGACATATGATGGGGATGTCGTGGAGGCCCCCAAACATCAAGAGGACTAGGCATGAGATGCCCTTCCAGGTTCCTTCCAAAGGGACTCTCCTTGACTTGTGAAGGACCTGCTTTCCTTACTTCCTGCTGATCAATCCCCTGCACCTGCACAAATGTCTAAGGTGCTAACAGAGCCACAAGGCTAAAACAAATGGTGGCTATCTGGAGATGGCTTAGAAAAAACAGCAGGCATCTTGCTTACCTTTTTGTCACTCTTCATAGCTATAGCTTCCCCCTGCTCCTGCTTCAGTGACAGGAGGTAAGGTGAAATAGCTGACACCAGGTCATGCAGGAGGTGCTGACTTTGTTCACAGTGTTTGTTTTTATTGTGTACTTAGTTAGGAGCTCAGGACTTCAGACTCTGACCTTGACATTTCCTGGAACTGAGCTGAGAAAGGGTGGGCATGTGGGTGGGAAGTAAACCAACAGTTAACCCACAGACTTGAATGCTGCCCAACTACAAGCACCTTCCTACTTTCCACAGTCTTCTGCAGATCTGCTCCACCATGAGAGTCTCTCTGCACATGCATCAGCTCTGTATTTCCACTACTTCCTAGGTCAGGCTACTATATCTATTTGTTCTGAGTTTTAGGGCTTTCCATCACTGCATCCATTGCAACCACCAGAAATCAACCTAACCCTAAGAGGTTTAGCGACAAGGGTCTCTTTGACCTAGATGGAGATTGACTTCTTTCCTTTTTCCTGTGGCTTGGGGCATAATCTAAGCTCTACCACTTTCTGGCTGTTGACTTTGGCGAAATTCTCCCTCTCTCATATCTTCAGTTCTCTCTTCTGCCTTAGCTATGGAATGATGTGCCTTGGTTGGCTCCACATTCTGAGAACATGGCACAGTGCATCATGTCAGCCTGATTAACATGAGAACTTCCTCGTCCCTAGAATGACTACACAGTTGTCTTCTCACGTAGAAGTAGATGGCTCTATCTGGAAGGCACTGCATGATATTTGGAGCCTAAAGGCTAGGTTTTTACGCATGACTTTGAGTTTAGAAAAACCACATATTCTGGCTGAACCTCTATAAAATAAGATTTTGAGCCCCATTCTCTTTTCTATAGAGTTGATGTGAGTAGAACAAAAGGAAGTGAATGGGGTTGTCATTTCCCTCTAAGCAAAGACCATCAGGAACATGCTTATAGTCAAACAAAGTTGGTTACTTTTTATTTTTAGTTTTCATTTCCCACTTGTTGCAGTAAGGATATTGTATGCAATGGTATAGAACTTCTCAGTGACAGATTTTCAAGAAAAGATCTT